TAATTTAAATTTGTATTACGACCAATAAATTCTGTCAAAGTTTTCTGGATACCGTAAAATTCGGATTGAATGCAACATTCGTAAAAACTCGATCACTATGACAAAAAAGACAAACCTGTAGGGATGACACCCCGTCTAAAGACAGAACATGTATTAGAGATGGTTAAGCATTCTCTACTATTGGAGCCTCATCAAAACTATCAGACACTCGGAATCGTCCGAGCTCATCGCGTGGTCCAGTGGGGACGATGCCCGCCTTGACGAAACCGCGAACGATCGTTTGGTCAGTTACCTGGTCCCACGCTTCAGCAACAAAACGAGACAGCAGTGCTCGCTTCTCCGTGGTCGAAGTCGGAAAGGGATGATCGATGTGGTATTGTAGATAAAAGCGCCTGCATAAATTTTTTTGTTAAATTAAATGTAGTACCAGCAAAACGGAAACATTCCTCACCTCACAGCATCTTTGAATGGCTTCATCACGGCTACATCCATCGGCTGGCTAATTCCCGTTATACCAGGTGGTACAAACTCTACTTGTGTGCAGTTACCTTCCAAGGCTTCACGAACGGAGTTCATCTTGTGCACTTTTAGGCTGTCTAGAATAAGCAGTCTACATCCATCGACGGCTGCCCGTTCTCGTCGTTGTACACTGCTCTATTGGCGCAGACTCGCAGGTTGGCTGCATCAGCATTAGTCTGGGACCGCATCTCGCAAATCTGCAATATCCTCAGCACCTTCAGGTAATCGCAATGAATCTACCGTGGTATTTGCATACGCGTCGCGAGTTGCTTCATCCACTAGCTGAAACCACACTTTCCGCGTCATCTAATCACAATACAACTTTGTTGTTAGTCTTGGTTGCTCTCAATACTTGTGGGCGTCGCTATCTTGCGCGTCGAAACACGGAGGCTCTGAGACCATTTGTCTCGCTACCTAGAAACAAACAAGCATTAGAAAACGCTAAACATATTCTGTAGAGATTTCAGATTTACCTTGGTGCACGTCGACTGTCACGCTACCAGTAAAAATCAATGGTGGTATTACCACCCATGTCAATAAAAATAGCCGTCTGATCCATATTATAGACGTTACCCAGCTTGTCTGGACCCGGCTGAGAGGACAGAATTCCGTCCTCTTCTATTGCTCGCTGTATGCTCTGGGAAAACACATTGGCTACAAGCTAAAAGACAAAATTAAATTAGAAATAGTACGTATTAACTGCAAGTTTTACATATACCTCCATATCTGGGCGCCTCTTCCTCCCCTTGTGTGTGATCCGTCTGATAGACAGACGATTGCGCTTTAAAAAGCGCCGGAGAAACGAGGTGTTGCCAGACCGGGTTCGCGCTCCGCAGCGTTCCGCATCGAACCGAGCAAGTACTAGCAGTAAGCACTCCATAGACACGCACAAGAATCGACTTTTTCTCATCTCAACAATCCAATCTAGAAGTCTACAGTATCAATTAGCAACCTGTCAGTAAAATAACTCAAAATGATACGTACTGCTTTTCCAGTAGATAGTTTTTGACGTAGACTGCAGCTCTAGAAGCTGGGTCGATGTAGTGCTTGTTAGGCACCTTTTTTTTACCGCTTCTTCAAGGCGCTTCTCTGCGTTCTGCCACCTATAAAGTATAGTACGATGAACTTTGGTCTTTGTAGCTGCAGCTTTGACCGTGCCAACATTGCTTCGCACAGCCTGCAGCCGCTTCCTATTTGTGTTTCGTGGCATGGTTCGAAACCACGAAATGAAGGACGGATGCCATTTAAAGCAGCAGAGGCTGCTCTCCATCAATTGTTTTTACGGACGTGAAAAAAGCTTTTTCGTTTCACTAGAAATGTAGTTTTTACGATGGTTGCGTTCAACCCGAATTTTACGGTATTTATATTCAGAGTCTTAGGTGGGATCGAGAACCGTCGACAAACCTGTACAAATATATAATTAGGCTACATGTGTAATTTCCCAATATATGTGTGTTTGTGGGAAGCATATAAATAGTCGTAATCCATTATAACCTCTAAAATTTTTCTGTTAAGCAAGTGAATGTTGACCCAACCGGTAAAGAACGACATTCGAGCGACCTCAGCGATGAACGACATTCTTGCGACATGATAGCTTTTCCGTCGTCAGATACGACCTGCGTTAACCTCAACCTCACTCGATAAAAACAAAACATAAAAAACACTATATTAGAAGAGTAATAAGTGGGGCAATCGATCGTCCAAATCGACTGCTGACCCCGGGAAACACTCTGTTCACTCCGTCTTTACCTTCTTCGTAGCAGTAGTCTTCTTGGGAAGGCCTTCACGGACGATTTTTGGCGTAGCAGTCTTCTTCGAGGAAAGCTGCTCTTCACGTGGCTCAGTCATCTCCGTCGTTAGAGGCAGGTCAGCCTCCCTTGTTCACTTTTGTTGAATTGAGGAGATGGATCCTGCGTCGGCATGTTTCTCGACAATGGTCTGGCTTTTGTGAGCGGACGAGGTAAAGACTGCGTTCTTGGATTCGCAATCAAGGTCACCAAACTTGGAAGGACTATAATCGGTGATTATACTTCCACAACCAGGCGCTTTCAAAGTAGAGCTCTCGATTTCAGGTTCGGGGTCGTCTACTTTGGTGACCGTTTGGATACGAGATGTGCTGCCCTGAGCCAGTTTGTTGTCATACAAACTTAAGCCGGTTACACGCTCGACAAAAACGTCAACGCCATCCAGTATTTGGGTGATATCTCGAGCGCTCGAGTCTCGGGTTTTGTTCGACCACACAAGCGAAAAAAACATCTCTGCCTTTTCGTCAAACGTCATGGCCGGCAATTCTTGCTTCAACTCCGGCGTCAATGATGTTACTTCTTCGTCCCCGAGCCAGAGATTCCATCCACCGGAGAACTCCTCGCGGAACGCGATGAACATGTCGAGGCTGATACACGGGGGAGTTAATACAGTCGAATTTGTTTAGTTCCAGGCTTGGAAGTCTTCTCAGCGGTAACGCCACGAAGCATATTGACAATGTCGGACATTTTTTCGTAGGTCGGAGCGCGGGTTTCTTGTTTGCGATCAACTCGGCGTCGCAGAAGCTGAGTAAGCTTCATTTTACCCTTTTGTTGTACGAATAGAAAGTGAGCAGTATTGGATGATGATTGGATGATGGTTAAAGCACTACTTACTTAAAAAAACTCGAGCACGCTGGCTGCTACAGCGTTCGCAGATACCAACCATAAGATCCACAACGACGCAGCAGGCTAGCCATTACAGCCTCGGATGTGTTGTTCAGAGCTCGACGGGTTGATATGATACAGCGAGGATGGCACTTATCAATACTGTGTACGAATGCGTTTATAATAGTCAGCACTACCCAGCAGTTAGTCATCAGTAACAAAAGAAAACACATCACTCCATACCAAAATTTATCCAACTTCCGACGTTTCCGACGCTGTGTGTGGATTTGTATGCAATACAAAAGCAATTGTATTAACAGAAAAAAGTATGGTCATACAATTTTGTTGTGATTGCGTAAAAAGACGTAAAAAGGTAATTACGTTATAAGAATGA